AAAGCTTTATACATCGGTTCCCAGTATTTGTTTCCGCGTTTGCTCGCCTGATGATGGAGTCGTTAGTAAGAACACTGAATTTAATATGTAATTTTTAAAGGACTACCGTTACCTCTTCCAAGCATTAATATTGCAATTGCGGGTGTTCGAGTAATATGGATCTTAGTTATGGATCAGGAGGGCATCTTTGGTGTTTCGGGTGGAATTCAGAAAAGTTTTGCTTCTTTTTCAGTTCCTTACATTCGCGAAAAGGAAGGAAACGAGGTAAAAGTCATCAAGGTGACCGGCGGAGAGGATGTTAAACTCACTTGCCAGATCAGAACCGCTAATCAGACCTCAAAACCAAGGTATTACTGGCTCAAAGACAATCAGACGCTCAGTCCATCGAGTCATCAACGTCTGAGGTTAAAACTCTACAGATACCTAGAGATAAAAAGAGCTAAGAAAGAGGACACCGGCCTCTACACCTGTGTCGCAGTAAATGACTGTGGCAAGAACCCTTTTACAATGCACCTATTTGTGGGAAGTAAGTAAACATTTGCAACCATCTAAGTTTTTTTAAAAGTACAAGTACGCACGTAATTTATAGCGGTATCCTGGGGAGCAAAGTTCTTTTATACTAGTTGTGTGTGACAAACTGAGGTGATGTCAGTTTAAGTAGTAGTTGCTGAGGTAGGCAAATAAGGAGGGAAAAGATGGTAATTTCAGACTTGCCATCACAAAAAGTTATTTCTGACGAAGGTGCAATGTTTCTTTTATCATTGCTTAAGGTATTGAACTGAGACAGCTGGGAGTTCAAAATCCCGTCAGGAAGTGAATAGGGCGGAGATTCAGATGTGTGTGGCCTCAGATAATTTGCACAACAAAAGCATTTACATCTACATAATTTCTTGTGTTTTTTCTCTTTGAGGTCCAACACTGGATCCCAACAAAATTACAGTAGGAGTTAAGACAGATGTACTTTCATTTCTAATCGGAAGAAATTAGTGAAAAATGACTGTAGAAGCAGTTTAGTTGATACAGGAGCCGATGTTAATGTTCTTTGAAATAGAGAAAAGCAACTGCCTCTGAAAGACAGTCTCAATGGGGTGATGGCTTTTACGGCTAACGTAACGTTACGGCTAATTTTGGCCAATCTACGGCTAACGGCTAAATTTTTGGCTGTTGTAAGGCTGTCGGATAACTCCATTAACACCCTCCGAGAACAAAACCGATGATGAAAAAAAATTATCAAGGGATTATAATCTCTTGAAAAAAAATTGATGAAGTGTTGAAGCTCATCTACAATGTCCATTAGATGAATCTTTTAAGTTAAGATTTTGTAAATCCGATAAAAAAAAAATATATTTTGGCAATCGCATATGTTATCCCATAAATTTCATAATTTTTCTACGCTTTGTGCGTAAAACATTGACTCGGGAGCTGAGACGGCCAAGATCTGATTGTTAATTCTCCCCTTTAGCTGCTACACGCATTTCCTTATAAATGCTGGAGGAACGAAAATTTGGTGTTAGCAACTTCTAAGTGATAAGTTTGATTATTCTCATTGCCTGTTTGCTGGATAATGTATGGATATTATACTAGGAGAAATTACATGTTGGTCACTTGTGGGAGTTAAAGGGCAAACGGGTTATGGGTCAGAGTGACGTGTTACAGTGAAACCTCGATTTAACGAAATGCCAAGGGACCGGGGAAATTGGTTCGTTACATCGAGGGTTCGTCATATCGAAAACCTCGATTCAACAAATTTGCGGAAAAACAACCAAAATGTTCGTTATGTCGTGGCATGGTTAACAATTTCTTTCTTTTTCTTCTTTCTTTTTTTTTTTTTAAGGAGTGAGGTACCACAGGAATCGGAGCAATTATTGTAAATTATATTACTGCTTTAATGTCTATGTGCAGAATTATTTTTAAAAACATTTTTTAAAAATCTAAACTACTGAGCAGCACTTTGCGAACAGTAGTTTTAAAACTTTTTAATTCTCCGACGCGTTTCGTCTAACTGTCGTAGACTTGAGGGAGTTTTACAAGTTAACACCAAACGCCTGTATTTATAAACCATAGTCAGCGGCTTTTACTGGGGCCAATGACCTTATAGGCTTGGCTGGACTTACGAACAGGAACAGGCGTTGTGAAAGTTGTGAAAAATTTTGAACACTTTTAAAGCAAGGTTAGAAAAATATGTAGGGGCCACGGTTTTAATTTAGTGCTAACTTGTTAAAATTCCTGAAGAAGTCCACGACGGTTAGACGAAACACGTCGGAGAGTTAAGAAGTTTTACAACTACTATATGCAGAGTGCGCAATTACTTTTTTATTACATAAATGGCAAAATATTTGAGGAAATCGCATTTGCACACGATGTCCGCGCGATGAAGCCCTTTCAATGCCGCCACAAATGTAAAAAAAAAAAGGTAACTCTTAAAGAGATTCAATCAACATTTTATTCACAGAATACAGTTATCAATGTTACTTACATGGCTTTATTCAGTTACATTACAATCAATAAATCCTTGCCGCAAACAGCATATGGCTCAATCAGCATCAAGCAATCATGCCCTTTTGATTACCAATAGTGCCCACGTGATTAAGAAAAAAATACTCTCTGTCTCAGCCAATCTGTATTCAGCAATTTTGCTCCGCATGTGGTAAAACTCTGAACCATCACCATAAGATCAGTACTGTAAAACACTTAGAATAAAATAATGTTTAGACTGTAACCTGAAATGTGTTAGTAAGCGGTGGCTTCCGGGCAGTTGTCGAGAAGTTCAACGCTCAAATGCTGTGGCTGTTCTGTGCTTCACAGCTGCTCCAAGATTTACGGTACCGCAAAGCAAGATGAGGCGCAACCTTCTTGCAGTACCCGTTGGAAACTCTGTTCTGCTGGACTGTTCTGCCGACGGAAACCCTCGTCCTACCGTGAAATGGTACAAAGA